AGCAGTGGCAACAAATGTTGCGAAGACTGGCAACCTACAAATCTGATCATGGACATGTTCATGTGCCCCAGGGCTATGTGACAGATGACGGTATCAAACTTGGACTCTGGGTTAAAAACCAGCGCGCGGCCAAGCTTAGGGGAAAGCTTAGCGAGGAGCAGGTGAAGCAGCTTGAAGAGCCGGGTTTTGTTTGGAATGTGTACGACGAGCAGAGGAAGCAAATGTTGCGAAGACTGGTGACCTACAAATCTGTTCATGGACATGTTCATGTGCCCCGGGACTATGTGACAGATGACGGTAGCAAACTTGGACACTGGGTGAATGACCAGCGCATGGCCAAGCATAGGGGAAAACTTAGCGAGGAGCAGGTGAAGCAGCTTGAAGAGCTGGGCTTGTTTGGGGGCAATGAGAAGCGGTCGCAAAGACATGTATATAGATGCATTGGAGTATGAATTGTCAAAGCAGTAGCAGCGGCCAACAAAGTTGCATATGCCGCATGTCCTTCGCTTTTCTGGCTAAATAAGAACAAAGGCAAAACGCATCATGTTAGTGTAGTGTTGCTGCTGCCAAGTAACAGTTCTAGTTTCCCACACAGAGGAAGTTGGTTCACCCAGATTCAGATCGTGTTGCGCCCACATAGGACGCCGCAAGCCAGTCCCTATGCACTTTTGGAAGCGGTGAATCAAGAATCATACGTGTGGCCTATGCCATTCGAAGCAGGCACCTGCAGAGTCCCACACTGTGGCCTGTCGAATGGTAGAAGCAAAGGCCATGGCATGAGTCTTGATTGCCTTCGCTGTTTTGAGGGAATAGCCGACTGTTTGCACCACGCGGAGTGCCGAATTTGCAGAATTCCCGGAGGCAAGGATGCATAACCACAACAAGGATTCATTTTTTGAGGAAGCAGCCGTTCCGTGTTGAGATACTCTTTGTGAAGCCTGGTCCTTGTTGCCATAAAGCTCCGCTACCCTGTGAGTAGATGAGATTAGATGAGTATTCAATTCAATCTCTTTCCCTTCAGCCTGACGTTGGAAAGTTGGGCCCACTGATCCACCAGGAGTTCGGACTTGCTTGACTTCTCCCAACCTCCCAATGGGTGACATGTGGAGTCAGGTGTGAGGCTAGGCGGCTAGCCCGTTTCCACACAGAGAGAAGTCATGAGACATCGCTTTGGATGGAAGAGGTGTTGCCCTTGGAGCTCCAAGCTCAAAACCTTGCTAACCAGCAGTGTTCACTTAGGAGGTCTGAAACATAATCATGCAACTCTGTTTCAAAAGTGAGTCGGGTGAGGGTTTCCCGGTGGAATTTGTTAAACCAGCTGCCGCCTGAGTTTCCCAAGGATCGGAGAAGGCGCCCGAGAGCATGTTGCTTCTTGGTATGGGTTCATTCTACTGCTTGGTCGCTGCGACTACGACATCGGGCTCAAATGTTTTAGCTCAAACAATGGTTTGACTGGGTGCACTACTAGTCTTGATGCCACACGCCAAAGGACATCCAACACTGACTGAAGATCTATCCAAATCCTCCAGTGATGGATCCGCTACCAGCACCCAAACGGTAAGCAGGCCGGTCTTTGAGTGATCTAAAACGTCGCAGCTGGTGATCGATGGGTCTCCAAAGCTGGTGGCTTTGGATGAGATCAAGTTGTGGAAGGCCAGTTCGACAGAGTGAGTGATCTTACTTGTATATACGTATACCACCTGTAGAAATCACAATCATAGCATCGTAGTGCCATGGTGTGCAATGATTTTCATTTTACCCCACGGCTTTTTGATTGGTCCAATTTGACTGTGAATCTAACGATATATTAGCCCTGACATTTACGTTTTTTTTTCCCCAGGCAACGTGACGGCAACGTGCCCTAAAGGCCCCAAACCGCCCTTGGCCCCGCGCCGCTGGCACCGAGGCCTTGGGCTCCGGAGGAAAGCTGGATGACCCGCTCAGCGCAGCTAGGTGGAAAGGCACTGGAGAAGGAAATGACCGGTCCTACATTAAAAACCCTCGTTCTTACAACCAACCCCTTCATATGCATTTCCGCAAATCTCCCTTACTATGAGCTTACCAAACCCCCCTACCGGCCCTGTGAGTCCGAAACGCCGGGGTTTGGTTGGCTGGTTTTGTGTAGGACGGTGTGGTTGCCAATTGAGGAAGGGGGTTGGTTGACTTGCTTGCCAGTTTCGGTTGGACTTTTCTGTGGGGAGTAAGGACAAAAACACCGACAGCCAGACAGGTGTCCTTTTGGCTTTGGATAGTACCAATTTGTCGTCCCAAGCGAAGGTGCCGTCGTTCCTCGATATCCGCCCGCCGCTTTGGGGCCCCGGCGCTCATGTGCATTCGCCATTGTGATGCAGCTGAGGATCGTCTATCCCAGGAGCCCTCGCAAGGTCGAGGAGGCGGAGGAGGAGGAGGCCGGAGCCTTGCGACAAGTGGACAGGTTTGGGAGAATTTGGACGAGCCTCAGCCTGGACCTTCTAATATAGGATGTCCAATTTGAAGACCTATACCAAGAAAAGTGCAGGGTCGGGTTGGATGGCACATGGTGACCCCTCGAGTGGGGTGGTTTAGCATAGACCTTTGGGCCTTTGGCAAAATGGACGAGAGCGGGAGTTTTGAAGCTTCAAAGCTACAGGTGACTTCTGTTGTTTTTCCACCAGGGGCCGTTATGTCATGCAAGATCTTTGGAACTTCCCAAAAACACAGCAGTTTTGTTGCAACCAACCATTTGAGTCCGCAGTATTTCAATGGCGAAACCTGCACATGTAAAACCGTCCAACAGGTCACGAATTGAAACCTTTTTGGGGGATGCCAAGATGTGCAAACCGTGTAACCCCTAGGGCTCCGAACGGCCCATATATCCTGAGGTCTGGTGGTTAGTTAGACCCGCAGGGGGGTAAGCACCCTCTGTGTTGCGTAAGCACCCTCTTACGACATAGGAATCTATCAAGGTTTCCAGATGTTTCCAGCACAGCTCCCCTGGCATCCATCCACTCCAAACCATCTTGGAAACGGAGGTGGGCCAGGAGCCTCTTAGGGGATCCGCCCCTCCGCCGCTCGCCGAGGCGCTCCGCGAAGCGCTGCCGACGCTGCTGGGCTCCCCACGGCGGGGGCGCCGGGTGGAAGAGGCGGAGAAGGACGACAAGGACGTTGCGTCGGGGTTGGTTGGGATAGGAAGGGAAAATGCATGAAAATGCGATAGCACAGTGCCAGATGATTCTGGTTCTTTACAGCGGTTTGCAGAGAGTTCAGGAGCTGAGAACGCGGTATCTCACGCTTCCGCCAAAGGGTCCATCACCTCCGGCACCACCTTGGCTTGCTAGCTAAGCCCAAAGAGGTGGAGTCAGCTGCGGTGAAATAGGAGACAGACAGCTATGAAGCCTTTGAAGTAGTAGATCAACAAAAACATGTTTCCAAAAATGCAACATTCGACCCTAGGATTGGAAGAACTGTACTTCAAGCATCTTCAACTGGCCAAGTCAAGGGGAGGCAAGGTCCTACCAGCCACGGTCCGTCGAAGATATTGAAGAGTTGTGGTGGCTACGTATGTCAAGTTACTGCCTCCCTTCACCTCGTTAGTCCTGGCTTCTGGATATTGTTTGATCGCAACTACAAGTTGAAGAGACTTTGGTTTCCCGGCGCAAAGCCACCACCAGAGAAAACATACATAACAACCCTGATAACAAAAGCGTTTGGCGGTAGAAACATGCACATACAGTCATACAGTGTCAAGAAAACTGTGACAAAACACGTGAATTTCCTGAGAACCACCCACCTGTCCAACCGCGGCGTAACTTGGCGCCAATCGACTTGCGCCGGTGCAATGCCGGACGTGTGGCGCCGTTTGGCCGAGCAAGATGATGAGCTGCTCAGATGGAGTTATAATGAAATTAATGAAGTTAAGAATTGGACCCATCACTCCCAACAAGGACAGTATATTAGTATATTAGGATGGTTCCAATCCAGACCTGCGGGGCTGGGGGGGAGAGCTCATTAGCATGATGAAGTCTTTACCATCTCCCAAGCACCTTTTTCGATGGTTGTGTATCATGTGACTCAAAACCCTCAAAGGTAGAGGTCTTGAGAGTCTTTGTGTGGTCCTCCTGTACTATAGTCAATTAGTAGGTTTTATGCTTAGGGATAGGACATGCCAAGCTTGAACCTGACATCCACGTCACTTCTTGTTGCTTACCATCTATGCAGCACGTGGGACGTGCTGCCAGTTACAGTGGTTCTCAAAAGAATTTCCTTTCAAGGCATTTATTTTTTCTCCGGGGTATGAGCATGGTCCAGGGTTGGTTTTCAGATCATGAGTGCGTGCTACGAGTAAAAATGCAAGTGGATCTCATGCCAACCAGCTGTAACCTTACCCTTCCTCTCACTGGCATGGATTGAGAGGATGGATGGTTTCTGCAGGTATATCATCTACCTGAAGGTTTGTGCAGCCATAGCCCTCGGAGCTCCCTGGCAGCCTTTGAATCTATGGTTTTAGTTTGTGTGTTGAAGCTGGCCCCACATCGGATAGGAGCTGCTATGGAATCCAATGCAGTTGGGTCCTGAATGCTTGCGGAATGAGAACTCAAATCGTGGGGGAAGGGCTGAAAGCGGAAATACCAGGCCCTTTGGAAACTCTCAGTGTGTGTGTGTGTGCTGTGCTGTGCATGAACGTTTCAGATGACTTGAATCGCTTGTTGGTAGTGACTCCCCAATCCGCTTTGACAGGTCCAAGAACACAACTTCAATCTCGGCAATGATCCTGACCCCAGTCCTTCACCCCTCACCCCTGCATGCCAAAGATGGACCCTTTGTGGTGTGGGATTTCGGTGTCATGTTCGGTCATGTTGCTTCTGAACCGGGCAAAGGCGTTCGAGAGAAGTTTGCATTGATTGTGTGAAGGGCGGTTCCCCTGAGAAGCTGAGGGGGCCAAGGCGCGCCTACCTTACAATGTGTCGCACAAGCAACGTGCCTTCATCCCATCCCGTTGGCGCAAAAGTTAGACTCAGACTGTTTTTGTCCACTCGATTTGGGAACCAGACTATTACTTGTTACTGACCCATCAAAGCATCCTTATCCACCCCAAAACATAGATAGATTACATCATACTACATCCAAATCCCCTTTGTCCACTATTCTCCACTTTTTCGTCATGCTGAATCGATGGGCTGCTGAACACCTGACTCTCTTCCATCTCTTCCATGCGCTCACCCTGCCGACTGAGGGCCTCTCGGCTGTATTTAGTGGCTTGAACTTGGGGCTGATGTGCTTGGATGCCAATCAGCTACAACTCCTGGTCAAGGCCCGGCATACGGGAGACGTGGAGAGGCGTCGTGACGTGGATGCTAGGTGGTTGTGACCTGCTGAAAGCCACGTGGCGTATGCAGTACATACAGTGTGATGGTGGCCAAGAGGCACTAAGCTTTCACATAAGAAGCGTAAGAAGGGTTTGTTGATGCTGATGTTAATTTTTTTTCTGAAATTTGAGGACTCGCTGTGCAAGCTGGTTGAAATCCATTCCGGAGTGGCAAAGTCTCAGACATGGCAGAAACCTGGACAATCGGATCATGCGTTCTTGTAGGGTTTGGCTGTTGTGCTCCAAACCAACAGTTCACCTTCGTTTGGTTGGATTGAGTTGGAAGTGTATTTTATAACTGTTAAAAACAAAAGATTCGTCTTTTCCCATCGTTTTACCGTTTCCCATCGTTTCCCCAATTAAGGTAGTCTTGACTCGGTGAAAGGAATGTCATCAAGCTGGTGGAGAACGTCAGAAACTAATGTCATTTAACATTGTTTAACCCAAGATGGTCGAAAGTTGCAGAGTGTCAACAAGACTGGAGTCAGAAGCTGATTTGGTTTAACCCCAGATCGGAAGTTGCTTGCATGAACGGTTTAATTTATTGTTTTGGCATGGGACACCCCCGCCCGGTTGTTAGGCCGCAGGGAATCCGGAGGCAGATGAAGAGGCCAGGAGGCAGGGGAGATGGGCCAAGCGGATCTATCCCCTGCGGAAAGACGGCAACCTGCTCTTATGCAGCTTGGAATTCGTGGGAGGGTGGGCCAGGTGGGTAATGTGTGACCCCAACGTCCAAGACCAAAGTGAGCGCTGAAAGTGTAGGTGTGACTGAGAGTCCCACATCCAAACCGCCTTTGAGTGTTCTACTAGTTCTCTAAACCATATGGGATGCTGACCGGCACTCGATTTTCAGGAGTATACGGTATAGACATACATTTTATATATAGAGAGAGAGCTAGACTTTCCACCTAGCCTATTCTATACATGGGCCTGGGCTGTTTCTTTTTTTTTTACGCGCTTTTACGCGCTCAGGTACAGTTCTCCTGGGCAATGTCATGGTGAACTCCTACTTCGCCATCCTCATGACCGAGTTTTGGAGCGGCACCGCTGCCCCTCGGCGACCGGACCGCGGACCGCGGACCGGTCCGGGGAGGGTCGGAGGATCCATCACTCCGAGCCTCCCGGGGTGGTGGGTCTCATGACAGGACTGGTTGGGTTTCATGACCTCTCCAATCAACTACACTCCTTGAGGCTTCAACTACCTTGACATCCTACGGACTTTCATCCCCCAGAAACACCCCACCCACCACGGCCTAGGTCGACACTGAGTTCCTTGGAGCCCTCTTGGGGTGAGCACCTTCGTGGCCCAGGCCTTCATCGTGAGCACCTTGATCCTGGTGACCTTCGGAGAGATCATTCCACAATCGGTTTGCTATAAGCATGGTTTGAAGATTGGCGCCAGCCTGGTGCCCTTCGTGTCACGGTGTGGACTTAATATGGCGGGAGAGGAGAGCGGAGAGCTCAGGCTCCGCGGAAAGTGTTTGAACCCTCCAAACCCACCCGAAACACCCTCTCAGAATGTACTTGGAGCCCGAGGGCATCAGGTGCATGTTTGGATGTGGACCTTGTGCCTACAGTGGTTGACCGCCAGGTCACCCTCTCCAAATCCACTTTTTCAGGGGGACAATACGGATATGATAAGTCATGATGGGCTTCTTGAAGATTGTTTTTTGCGTATATTTCATGCCAAGAATTGCTGGTGCCGTTTGGATGGTGCTGAGTGTGCAGCATTGAGAGGAGCTATATAGATAACTTGAGATTTCCCACTCTCACTCCAACTTATGAGTTCCACTCCAAAAAGTTAGGAAGCAGGACCAAAACTTGACATGATCTTGGACCAACTAAGCCCAGCTGAACCAGCTGGGCTTCCGCCTTCGGGGTCCTTGATGTGAAGAGCTTTGATTCAAGACCGTCGTCGATGCACCATAAGTTGGAAAGCTCCAAAAGGCCGGGTGTCCCATTGAAGCTGAATGTTCAATGAAACAACCAAATTTGACGCATGTGAATACGCACATCACACATCCCAAGTTCTTTCAAAACAAAAACATCCCCGAACGACCCGCCAAACCAAGCTTCCAGAAGCTCCACCTATACCCTTCCTATACTGCAAGATACTGCAAGCATAGTCTTCGCCAGCATCTTTTGTTCAGTCGCCGAGGTGAGCTTCTTTTGGTATTTGTTGCTTCCCATCGCCAAGCCTTTGGCCTTGATTTTAGATTGCCTCTTCGGAGAGGAGATGGGCCAAGTCTTGGATCAGAAGCAGCGCCTCGGCAGGGGTGGACCGGCCTATAGGGTGGGTGAGGAGAGGTGGGAGGTGTGTGGGTTTTGGTTAGTTCCATGCAGGAGTCATAGAAGTTTCAGATGAAAATCATGTGGATTTCATCCGGATTTCCAACGTGCAGCGAGTCTGATAACAATACAGGGTAGTCTGAGAAGGCGTCTTCATGAGTCACCCGAGTCCCCATGAGTCACCTGAGTCCCCATGAGTCACCCGAGTCCCCATGAGTCACCTGAGTCCCTATGAGTCACAACAAATCCTCATGCATTTAGGGAGGCGTTCGGAAGGTTCGGAAGATGTCCTCGCCAGCGAGTGCGTGAGGGAAAGAAGCGTTCGGATTCCTGTGCCTCTTTTTGAGGTCCTTTATTCCTTCAGAGTAGTATACTTTCAGGTTCTCTTTCAACCCCTACATGTGCCTAACCACGTCACTCGGTGTGTGCCAATCGCTCGGTTTTCCTTTGCCACTCGTCGGGATCGCCACCAGGTTTATGACCCTTATCGATTACCAACGGAAGCAGGCCCCGCACTTGATCACTGAGCAAGAGCCTCGGAGCTTATACTTATACGCGTCATGAGGCGTGGGACCTCCATCGCGCGCGGGTGGTGTTCGCAGCAAGCTGATTGAGGGCATCTCCCTGTGTATTGATATCGTTTCGTCAAACTACTTTGCCTAGTGCAAGCTTCATCAGGGTTCATCAGCATCCATCGCGGATGTTTCAGAAGTATATATGATAGAATGTTATTTTTTAAAGAGCATTTCTGGGGTTGATGCTATTCACTGGCTCCACTCTGTGAACCATATATATGATATGCCTATTCCTATTTGTCCATCCCATCGATCGGATCGGCTATATGCTCGACGACTCTCCAGCTCGACGACCATCGGCTCCATCTGAGGAAGCCAAGATCTTGCGGGGGTCCTGCAGCTTCTCCACCATGACTGCCACTTGATTGCAGACTGCAGCGGACACGACGTTCACTTCACGGCAGGCACAGTTCGAATGGAGCGGAGCCCCGAGCGGAGCCCCTTGTAACATGTGAAGCGTGGCGCCGCTGCCGCTGACTTGGTGGGCCTGGTGGAGAAAAGAAACACAACAAGCACACCTGGATCCTCCCAGTGGCCTTTTGATCCCCTGGCTTGATGTCAGTTCGGCCTGTAAAAGGTCACTTTGGCACTCCAGGTTTCATCAAGAAAAAGGCAAGCAGGATGATTTCGACATATTTCAGCACTTTTATATCATTGTAGCGCATGCTGTGGGAAAAGACTGGGAGAGGCTGATGCTGCTTGAATTCGCTTTAGATAGTTTGAGCGATCCACCGGGGAGAGCAAGATCAGTAATCTCGAGTGATTTTTGGAAGGCACATGCTCAAACTAATGATCGCTGCTAGGCCCAGGACACAGTACGGCGAGGCCTGTGTTCAAGACACAGAAGGCTAGGCCGCATCTAATCTATTGCAATAATTTGGGAGAAACACTGGTTCTCATACACCATCACCGTTCTACTGCACATACATTGCTTATAGTACTCATAGATGACACATAGCCTTGCAATTGCATCTATTGGCTCTATAGCTTCAGACATCTATTGGCTTTATAGCTTCGTTGACTCCAGTCGGCCACGAGCCAGTGCGCATCACTGGCTTCGACTCCCCGACCCCCCCTTCGACGGGCTCCCCGACGTTCGGAACGCCGCGGCACGCCGCGGCATGGTCCTGAAATGGTCAAAGCGGACGGCACGGTTTTCCTCATAGAAGCAGGGAAGACCAGTGTTGTAGAGAGTAAGGGAGAGTAGAGAGACCAGTGTTTCCCTCTTCCACTTCCATGGACGTCCTCAGTGAAGTCCTCCTTTTCTCCCCTGCCGAGGCGCAAAACATCATGGTGCCCATGGCTGAGTGCTTCTGCCTTGATGCCCATGTCCCAAGCTGAGCAAAGATGGGGGCAGTCCTGGCGGCGAACGTGACAGCAGGGGATTTCTGGAAAACCACCAACGATACATGGCTTTTGGACAAGTGGTTTGGCCCGACAGGTCTAAATGCCATCCGACCCTTTTTACAGCCAGTGCTGAGCATATTCCAATTATTGTGATAGAAGAACTGGCTGCACACTTTTACATGACCCTGCAGGTCCAGTCTGAGTAAAAGATGTAAAAATCTGGTCCTGCCTCCCAGAGTCGTCATGTTGTACAAAAACTCATTGGACCCTCAGCTCGCTAGGGCTTTGACCCTCACAACGAGGGTTTTGGACCGAACCCACATGTAGCAGTTGCTTCGGGTCAATGAGCGTTGTAACAACAACTCCAGTCCAATGGATGATCCAACTGACCCGGCAGGAGATGAGATGAGATGAGAAACGCGTCTAAGCTCCCCGCGGAAACCTGGCTGAGGCGGTGATCAACCCGGGGCTTTGCGCCGCCGTGGCGGCTGCCGGCCTCTCGCGGATCCCCGTAATCGACCGAGACCCCTTGAACCCGAAGCGTCAGTGACTGGGGTTTTGCATGGAGACGGGATGGATTTGGGGAGAACTTCAATGGATATTACAAGTGGAGAACCCGCACATGAGTTTTTTTTTCCGGTTTGGGCAAGACCTTTTTGAACGGTGTTTGTTTTAATAAAGTGGTGCAGGTTTGCAAAACAAATTGTAGTAAAATCGACCAGGAACCAGATATTGCAACTTTAAGAGGTTCACATATGATATGTTGTCCCTCCAAGTTCCGGTCTGTTCTGATGAGACATGACCCCGAGCTTGACAACATCAATCCGTTGGAGACGCCAGTATATAAGTTTTGTTTTGCTTGTAGGGGAGGCACAAGCACCTTGTGAGGTGCTAGCGAGATGCATTAGGTGCACACAAAGTCTTTAAGGATAGCTGCATGAACAGCAGAAGCTGTGCCGACAAAAGAAACACAACATGTATGTGGGTGTGTAGCCCGTAAGTGGGAAAATACACCAAACCTGCCTGCTGCAGGAAGCCAGGCTTGGCTGTGCTTACTCACCTGGGCCCTAGGAGATTTGGGAGACAACCTGAGAAGGTAGTTGGACCCCCCTAGCCCCCCAACTTCATCAGGCATTTGGCATCCCTGGTGTGTTGCCTTGCTTTGTGTGGGGGGCTATATGCAACAAAGCAAAGCAAGCCAAGTGAACCATGTCCAAAGAATCATCCTGTACCAAACTGACATGCAGACCAACACGATCTTGTATGGACGTCCAGGTCTTGTTCCTTCTGTTCTCCAGTCCTTGAAGAATTAGAAGCGTCGAATCCACCAAGATCATGTCATTCTATTCATCTCGAGTTTGTGGAGCTCAGCTGATCTTCAAAGAGACTGCCCCTGGAGAGGAAAAGACGGAAGCGCAGTCACGTGAGGTATGCTGTGGTGGGTTTGATTCACGTGAAGGATTTGCTCCTGCTGGACGTCGACCACGAGGTGGGGTCATCCAGGGGATATTTGGACACGCCTTTGTTTTTGGGAAATTCTCTCGGACTTGTTGTGGAAAGAGGTGGGTGAGACAACCATTTTACAGTCTTCCAGGTGCCCTGGAAGTGAAGACGTTGCGTCAAAGGCACTTGAATTCACAGGGCGGGAGTGGCTTTGGGATCTTTAGGCACAGCACGATCCGTGGCAAGATTGCAGCTCGTCCAAACTGGCTCCATGATCTATCTATGTTCATCGCAGCCCCTTTCCATGTTGCATCACATGGCATTGGTGTTTGGAAGTTTCAAGCTTGCGCAAGGTCAGCATTTGCTCCGAACATCACCATACATGTATAGTGTTTTATGACAGCTTGGACAGGCGCTTTTTCGAACGAACATGAAGAACTTCGAAAGTGGCACGAGTTTCAACAGTGAATCATGACCCTTCGTAGCTCTCCTAAGCTGGCAGCATCTCCTCGGATCTTTCTTCGATTCGCCGACCTGTGCGGGGTCGGTCGTCGCGGGATCCGGACCGCGGGGGTCAGATGGCGGTCGCCGCGTGCGCCTCAGGTGACGATGAAATCCCTGTTGCCATTGATTGGCCGTCCTGCCACTGGTCGTTGGCGTGGAAACACCGGTGTTGGTCGTCAACGGGGGAGACTTGGGGCCTTGGTTGGGCGAGGTTGGGCGATTCTTCCACTAGAAACAGGGGTGGTTGGTGGTTGGCACATGTGATGTCTTTGTATTACCCAAACACTCTATGGGACTGCAATTGATCATCATTTATGCCACAATTGACTCCCCAAACCACCCCAATGTAGGGAAATATGGCAGTCCCATGCAGTGTTTGGGTTATTATATATCCACATTGTTTGAACAAATCCGAGTTTCAGAGGTTGTTTCACCATCCCTTTTTGGAGGGTGTTGAGTGCCCCGTCCCTTGCATCCCTGCGTCCCTTAGAGGTTGAAATCAACCACCCAATATAGGTATGTAAGGTATGTACAAGGTACATACATAAATACATATAGGGAAATATGATCAAATATGAAATATGATCAATTATGCCAGACACTTGGTTCTTCAAAGTGGCCGAACTTGATCTCCTGGTTTGAGGTCACTCAGATCTTATTAGCGGCCAAACTAAAAAGCGGTCACGGGGAACTCCCAAACGGTCACTGAGTCGAGTCTATGTTCAGAAGCTGGCAATTCTTCGAACCACTGACTATCTGAGTCCCAGAAACCACTGGGACTGGCCTCTTTGTTTGGAGGAGGCCTTCTGAGGTCAGTCCATGCCTTCCTCGACCTGAGGTGTTCATCGTGGACGATGACCGACCACTGCTGGAGCTGCTCGAGGAGTTCCGGAAGGGCGCGAGCCACCTGGGTGGAAGAAGCCCCGGAGTCGATTTGGTACGAGACCCCTCTTCATGATTGGAGGAATTCAGCCAGTTGATCTACTATTTGATTTATGTTTCTTTGCACAGCAATGCGTGGTAGATGTAAAATAGCACATGAACATGACACAGTGCTGACTATCTAGGGCTTTTGTCCGACCTCCAGTTGCTGCTCCGGTCCCCAACCACTGAGGTCAGCTGGCGGTGGTGCGTGGCATTGTCAACGATGAGGACTGCGACCCCTACTTCCGGCACGTGGGGATTCTCACGCTACAGGACGGACCGACAGAATCGGAGTGGTGCGGTGTGGACAGAATTGGGACGCCCAGATCGGATCAGTGGGCAAAAGGGACACATGAAAAAATAGAAACATGAAGAAACACATACAGAAACCATAAAATCCATGTATATATTTAACCTGTTAACCCATTGGCTCACAGCAGTCCTTTCTCGCAAGACAGACTTTAGCAAAGAGCGTGACAAGGCCGGGCGACAACGCCGCCCCCGTGTTTGCAGATTTCGATTTCACCCTGTGGACCACTTGTAAAATTAGGAGATACACTTGGAAAAGACCAGATACACTTGGAATCATTCTGGAAGTTGATGGCATGATGCCCATGTAAGGAATTAACTCAGGCTCCAGCTGGGTCCGATGCAGAGAGAGAGAGAGGGAAGGGAGCGAGCGAGAGAGAGAGAGAGAGAGACACCCTTTGGAAGCAGGATCTCCTCAATACCATCGTTCAGGAAGATGTCCACGAGCTTGATGGCCTCTTGGGCACTGCTTCAGATGGGTGCTTCTACCCTACAGTACTCAGCAACTCCTGGGTCTCCAATGCCCCCCCCAAAACAGAGGTATGTATAGTGGATTCACCACTGGTTTTAGATATGGTACATCAGGTTCTAGATAGCTCTTGGACCGCTGGTAGGCAGGCACCTCAACATGATATGTTGGCTATTGCCTGACTAGCAGGCGGGACAAACATGCCTCAGACCGTTAACTAGTCACTTGTTGGAACCTATGTGCAGGCGTTATGATTTACTTCGTAGAGGATGGTAGCTTGGTATTGACCACAGGATGACACTTGTTAGAATCAGAGCGCCACCCTAATGTAGTCCCTATACTCGGCAGTGATATAAAGCCTGTTTAACTGCAATCATACGAACAAGCTAAACGACCGCCTTCCAACCATCAGGATGCTGTAGTGTGCTTCGAAGCTCACAGTCTGTGTCATATGTGCAGACCCATGTCTTGCATGATGACCCACAAAAATCGGCAACAGCAGTGGTATGCAGTGATGGGATTGTTTGTTTGAATCAGGTTCATGTTGGGGGCCTTTGGTGGCCCTTTCTCAGTAGTCAACCTGGGTGGTTATCAGTGTTATATCAGTGTGGTTCAGGTTGGCGCCCTTGTCAGAATTCTTTAAACGTGTCAGGCAGGAGTCACACCGCCGCAGACCACCAAGGAGACGACGCTGAGTCGGTCGTCAGCAGCGAGCCCAGTGGGATGTTCTCCAACGTGCCACGCTTCCACGAGGCGGGCGGGGAACACGGGGCGTGTCTTTTGGGGTGTTGTGTTTTATTTAGATGGCTACTTGTAACCCATTGAATACGGAGGTCATAGAATGTCATCAACGTATGAATTCATTCATCATCTTATTTGCTAAGATATTCTAAGATCATTTACTGCAGTTTGAACTACTTCGTATTTTCACAGGCAGCCCATCGCTAGGAGCTCTTGGATCACAGCACCGCTGTAAGCCACCACGGGCCCTTGGCGCGTGCTCATCAAACACAAGTGGCACGCGGTCTTTCGAAGGCTGTGGTGGGTGGTGGTGTCCTGGGTGGGGCGGTTTGAGCCGTTGGCGGGGGTCCTGGGGGTTGGATAACTGATCGAGAAGTTTAGATTGGGAAATCCAGAGTGCCTAGAGACACTTATAACAGAGAGATCTTTGACCCCAGATGTGCAAAAGGACTACGCCTGTAGGGCGTTTCAAACTCAGCCAGTTTTTTGAACGGGGCTTGCACGCAACATGGGCCTTATGCAAATTCATGCGTGTTTGCGTTTTTTTCTCCACATCTTTGAGCTATCCGTGCACGTTCGTGCGTTGCTTGGCGCTCATCACAACAAGGACGAGGTGGTCGCCGCTGCTGCCTTTCTGCGGCAACGCTACGTGCAGCCTGTCCCAAGACATGCGAAAGGTCCCACTGGATCTTTGATGAGCTGCATCTGTAGTATAGATAATATTGAATATAGGATGTGGTGGTGTAAACTGTAAACTGTGAAATGGTAGAGCACATTCAGTTTCTTGCACGTACGTGATCAGCGATTACTGATTACTGATTCCATGCTTCTTTCCAGAAGGCTCATTCCAGGTGCTCATCCCAGGACCTTTTCCAAGGGCCTGGGTTTGCGGGCACTGATGTGCAGATCAGACTTTCTCCACAACTTATAATTGTAATTGTGGTTGTTTGTTAAACATATAAACACATGTTTGATTTACATATGCTGGTGCTAAAGTAAGCCTTTATATATATATATATATTTGAATAGAACTTCTTGGGTCGGTGGCGTCCGGGACGGCACTTTCGCTCCATGGGCCTCGGTCCCGACAGGAAGCACAGACAGGTCGTTTTCGTGGGAAGCACCTGGGGGTTCACGGAAGCACCGTGATCCTGACATGAAGGAGAGGGTCTCAAGTCAGGACCGTGCAGTAGGAGAAGCAGCTTTAAGAGATTAAAGGAATACAGAATACACTCTTAATCTTGACCAGCAGGATGTGGGCTTAGTGCACATGTCTCAACAAACAGCACACTGTACCCTGCAATGAAGATGATCATGTTGTCCTGCAGGAGGTCTTAGAACGTTGGGTCAGATGGGACTGAAGCGCTTGTCCTATATGCTTCCCGGCTTCCCTCTCCCAACCACGGCCACGAGCTGCAAGGTGCTTGTTCGGACATGTGGGGCAGCCGCGTTTGGAGAACTTTCTGCTGCGGAGCTGCCGCGTGGTGGGCACCGGCGAAGCGCAGGGCACTGCATTGAAGCTTGGCGATGGCGATGACCGAGAATTGAACACCCCGCGAGACCTGCGGAAAAAGAAACGGTTCCTTGAGTTCCTGCAGTATGTTCTAGAATCTAGAAATCCTTCGGCCCCAACTTGAAATCCCCGCAAGACTGTCGAAACAAAAACAAACAATTATACAATTGGCTTTCCTCCCTTTTTGCGGAAGATCTTTTCCATGATCGTTTGTTTGAGTCCCTGCCCGCGCTGCCCTCGGGACCCACCCGGATCTTTCTACACCGAGGTATCGCCGAGGAGAAGGTGCGACCTACGCAGCTTTGGTCATCAGTGGGGAGGTGAAGGCGAGTGCCTGAGGGGCTCAGTATGGCACAGTGGGTTCCAAATGGTTCCAAGTTCCATGGCAGAATCCCCAAGTATGGTGATAAGATGTGGTACAATATGAATTATGGACCCGCATCTAAAAGGATGGGCTGCCAGCACCATCTAAGAAAACACTCTTCTACACGGCAGGGGGGGCTTTGGCAATTCTCAACCACAGGCCGAACGGGTGGCCGAACGGTCAGACCTTTTTCCGGTTTCACTGGAAGAGCGAAAACTGCCCCGTTGAGTGTTCCTTCGTCGGACCAAATCAGTGGACCCCATTTGACCCAGTACCTTTGAGGATGGGACAGCATGACCCTATAAGAACTGATATATACTTGTAATTATCAATTGTCCGAATTGTCCGATGTACGAACTGAGATTCCAGGTAGTTCCATCAAATGCCGATGCTGGGATGGCGTATTCGTCATTGGCGGGAGCTTGGGTTGTTTGGGGCACAAGACAATGATATACAGTACCATGATATACCTGAAAATGACCTCCACAGTGGAGCCGCCATGCAACCAGAATGACCCGGACGGTCAGAAGATGTCAGAAGCCGGAAACATATCATGAAATATATGGTTTTACTATGTTTTACTTATAGGTGATGTTGAAACCTCCTGACTCCTTATGAGTGAATCCCTGGAGCTGGGGAAACATGTGTTGATGTTTTTCCTGCCCTCTGAACCTTTCCGGCATTCCATGTCCTCATTTGGTCCCCCTTAAGGGGTAGCTTGGATGACCTCAAAGTGGGTGTGCATCGAAGTGTCGAGGATTCATCAAAGATATGAACAGATTAGTACCGTTACAGCATGTGAACAAAGACGTAAAATCATCACCAACAAGATGGCTTAGGGAGTGATATCCGATATGACCTTTGGCACCGTTGTTTCCTCTTGGTTTTGTTTGTTCGGAGTCCAGCCGCCCGCACGGCAGCCCGGTCGTTCGCGCCAGGTGTTTGCTGGGAAGGAGGCGCATGAGTCGATCCAGGCAGAGATGGCCAGTCGATTGAGCAGGTCAATGAACCTACTATACCCTCCAAACTGCGGATGGAAGTGGTTGTCCCCCCCTGTGGCTGAGTATGAACTCACCCTCCCCACCAAAGCATGGGAGGATTGAACATCCCTTAGAGGAATCGGTTCATGTTCAGGAATCAACCTGACACATGAGCAACACAAGGCAAAACCAGTCAAAACCTGGGGGCCATCGCATCCACTTAGTGATGATTGGTTGTGGACTGGCATACGGTGGGATGGCTGACCTGGGGTCAATGGGGTGGCATGTGTGCCAGTTTCACTCAAAGTTGCGATTTTGGGGGGTAGGAGCGCCATTTGCAATCACCACTAGCATGGACACTGGTACTGATGGAATGGTACCCACTGGTATTGATAATGGTATTTGGTTATACACCCAGTATTTGGAATGGACATTTTGTTTCATGTTCTTTGTTGCGGACTTTGGTCGGATGAGAATCGTGAAACTATGAGACTATGACAAGCAAAGAGTGATGCGACAGGTGAGAGATGGAACTTATGAAGTGGAAGAGATGGAACTTAAATGGGATTTCAGAGGTGGGGACAGGTGGAGTTGAATTTTTGGGGAGGCTGAATCAGGTTTGAACGCGTGGATTTCCAGGTTGTTGATAATTATATGTTCCTTGCAGTTTTGAGACTATGTTTCGTTCCATGTTCAATTGGGGAGTGACAACAACATGCGGTAGACGTTTGATGCATAAAGAACCGGCCCATTTGAAGTGGACATCCTCTTCATATATGGTTTGAAATAGAATAGACTCATATACGCCTTGCAAAACACCCGTGTTTGGCAGGGCCCGTGGAGCTTCCTCGGGAAGCGATGCCTGGACATGGTGCTGGAGAAACAGAAGTGCCAGCCAAACTGCGAGATCTACTGCCCAGACTTCAGTGCCTGGCAGGATTTGGAGTTCTTGGCAGGCCTTCACAAAAAGTCCGTTTTGGGGAACAAAAGGCTCAAATGACTTGGAACAGTTCAGCAACCTGCACACCCTTTCATAGATCTAAGAATGTTCTAGATTCCAATGCTGATTCTTCCGGTGGGGCGCTTCAGAAAGCGCTCAGTGTTTCGATGTGTTTCGGGTCTATGCGGCACTATGTTCACATCACATGCATGCCCCCAAGCCGAGCCAAGTGGATGCCCCTCCCAGCTGACCCAAGGTGCTTACACTGCAGAGGCCAAAGACTCAGTGGGAGGCCCACGCCTTCTGCTCATCACCCCCGACGCTTATGGCATGCTCCTCGCGGGAAGCGCGGGGAATCCCAACGGCGTGCGGAATGGCTTGAGCTTGTGATTCTTGGCCATTTAGCAGCAGTCACACATCCAGCGTCATCCCGCTCAAACACATGGTCAAGGCTTGCGTTTTCTCCTATGTTCGGTGTGTGGGCGTGCATTTATCATAGTCAAAAAGAAGGAATCTTCACTTCCACTTGCTCCAGGGGTGTAATGAAAATACTTGTGTTTCGAGGTGCACACTTCCGACCGCCAGGGAACATCATTGGCCCAGAAGAGCAATCTCCCACAGAGCAGATCAAATGAAAAAGGAGACCCCCACTGTATCGCCACCTCACTTATCACACTGATTGAAGCAATCTCCCACGTTGTTTGTGACATATTGTTGTTTGTGTTGCTTATTCTTGCTTCAAGCCATGACTCTTTGAACCTATTTCACTGTGCAAACAGGGGCCCCTTTCAGTCACAAATCGAGCCCCCACCGATTCATACACAATCCATGTGGCTGTTCACAAGGGAAGAGGACCCAAGTCAGACCCGCACAAGAACCCTTTCGGAGGACTTTGGGGGACCATTAAAAAAGAGACTGAGGGAAGCACTCAAGCACTCAAACCTTAGTTTAAGTGGAATTTCCTTCCAATGGTGTTGCATGGATCAATATTGTCGGATCAGAGTCTCATGTAGTCTGTAGAGACGGTTTGTTCAACCTAACTGCGGTCCGCTGCCGTTTCATGTTCAGTCGGGCTCGGTGGATGTTCTCTTGCAACAAGTGCCGTAACGGCACTCGGCAGCAGGGGGACTCCTGGTGCCTTGGTTGCTCTTCGCTGGAGGCAGCTTCGACTGACCTCCGGCGTGAGTGGCCGCGGCCCGAATTCCGGACGCTGGCCGAGGATATCATCCTCTCGGCCGCGCGTGCGGTGAGGGGCCTGCGAAAGGCCGCAAACCAAGGTGAGGAGGACCCAGGAGTTCGTGCTGCTAGCCCTCAGGCCGCCAGAGGTTCTCCTCCAACTCGTGCTCCACCTGTATCAGAACCTCGACGAGCTCAAACGGCAGGAGCCACTCCGAAGGGACAGCCAGCGGTGAAGCGTCCTCGAACGCCACCTAGGCCTCCACCCGGCCGGCGAGAGAGAGGAGAAGAGCAGGAAAGGGAATACTACGAGGAGGAGAGCGAAGAAGAACCTCGAGAAGGACAGAAGAGGAAACACCGTGGTGGCACCAAGCATCAGCGACACAGTCAAAAAGACCAGGACGGTCGAACCAGGGAGACACACCGCCCCCTCGGGGCGCAGTTGGTTGAGAGGAGGTCCGCATTGAGGTGAGAGGCTTGAGATGAGTAAGAGAAAGGAAAGAGAGAAGATAGGAGAAGGAAAGGTGTTTGGCTTGGAGCTCAACAAGGAAGAATGGCTGAACTTCGAGCCGGAGGAGAGCGACATTCTAGAGATTACAGAGTTGATAGGAGTAGAAGGGTTGCCCTTGGCCCGTGGGACTTTCTGGATCGAAGGGAAAGAGTTCAGAGACGATCACGGGCTGGCATTGAGAGTGGCTTGTTTGACAGGAGGAGACGACACCACTACGCCACTCTTGACCCAGATGTTCAACAGGAAGAAGCAGCAATTGCACCTTTGTTCATCCGAAGGTTGTCGTGCAGAAGGCTTTGGAGCGCATGCCACAAGAGTCAGTCATTTCCTGCAGGCCAACTTCACGACCAGACATCTGGATCCTCAGGTTGGACGCGCGCTTCAACGTCGTCGCAGAGAACTCAGCAAGAGGAAAGGCAAAGGTGGCGTTGGAGGCGGCGAGGATTCACCCGGAGAGGCTGGTCCTGGCCGAGGTGCCCCAATGCCTGCGAGGCGGGGGCCCTCGGAGCACGGCCGTGCCCCCGGGGGTGGAGAAGATTGGGAGGAGCCAGCAGGAGCATGGGAGGACTACGAAGAAGAGAGGATTGCCCAAGAAGAAGGAGGTCAATTAGGAGAAGGAAGACTGCCTGCTGCAGGCCCTGGCTCGCCAGAGGAGTTGCGTGCAGCGTTGAGCAAGATGAGACAGAGAATGGGTCATGGTGCAGGACCCAAATCAAGACTGGCAGTCAAGCCTGGTGGAGGAATCTTCGACGCCTTCAGCCCTGCAGCGGAAAAGTCTCAGGGGACTTTGAGGCCTGGGAAAGAAGACAGGCCCAAGGAGGCCGAACACCCGCAAGCGGATCTGAGAGAAGGCGTTTTGAGGAGATCAAAGAAGAAGGAGAAGTCAGAGGAGTTCAAAGAGAAGTCAAAAGGCGTGCTGAAGGATTTGGTCACGAAGGCTTCAAAGATGGCCCCAGCTCAGAAGGAGAAGAAGGAGAAGTCGAAGTCCTCGAAGACGGCTATAGCCTTGGTACAGACTCTAGCCAAGGGACTCGGGGTGAAGGTGAAGAAACCGAAGGAGCATTTGGGGCACAAGAGGAGAGTGAAGTTCGACGACGAGCCGGACGAGGAGGGGACCACCGGCGAGGAGAGTGGCAACTCAGAAAGTGGCTCCAGCGACACATCAGACCAAGAGATGAGCCACGAGCAGGCCGACAAGGCGACCCCGCCGCTGGAGAGGATGAGTTTGAAGAAGGCCGGATCGGTCCTCAAGATGTTCGTGGAGCACATGTCCGAGACGCTCGAGAACCTAGACGAGGGGGCACAGGCTCATGGAGGATCGGTGACGGCAGGGGTGTCAGGGATAAAATACTGGCACCTAGTGTTGAAGCCCTTGCTCGGGACTCGAACTCGAGATGCGAGAGAGGTATACTGCCTTCTGCAAGCGTTGGATCACCTTCGCGGAGGAGCTCTCGATCAGTTGGGAGATCTTCTAGCTGCGAGGGTCATGGCAATACATCAGGCCACGGCGGATGGAGGATCATGGAGGGCAGCAAAGCATATGGAAATTCGACCCCTCGAAGCAACCTCAGCTGCCAGAACAAACGTGATTCTGCAGGCACGTCGATTCGCCAAAGTGGCCGATCGAGCATCAGGAGTGGTCGAAAGAAGGTCATGGTGGTCAGGAGGAAAAGCTTCGTCGCGATGGTCAGACGATGGCGAGGCAGGAAAAGACTCCAAAGGAAGAGGCAAAGGCAAGAAGGGCAAGAAGGGAAAGAAGAAAGAAGCAGGAAAAGATTGGAAGCAGCTGCAGGAGGGACCGCCCGACAAAACAGAGGCTGCTGGATAGAAGATCTCAAGGAAGGGCTTGAGGAGACAGAGACGCTGCGAGAGATAGGCTGGTGGCTTAGCGCACTTGTGAGGAGGCTGAGTGACAGGCCTGGAGGGCCCTTGCCGCTTCACAGTCTTTGGAGCTGGCTGGGCCTATCTGCCGTGCCGTCTCGGGCGCTGGGCCGCAAGAAGGCCCGTGCGCTCATTCCAGTTCCTAAGGGAGCCGCGGAGGCATTCTTCAGAGGCCCTTTGAGTGTGGCTTCGTGGCAAAGCTTGGGAAGCAAAATTCGTTGCAAAGAGAGTCGCAGGGAACATTTGAATCCCGTTGCGCTGAACGACATTCCAGCAGAAGGCCCGGAGATCGAGCCTTGGGAAATCGCTTGTCTGGCCGGTTGCAACCTCCTGGCCGGACATACCGAGCTCCTGTCAGAAGGAACCGCTTCGGCGTTGCAGAAACGCGCAGTGGCGGACCTTCACGGACTGCTCGAGAGGAGCGGTGGACTTGATGAGCGGGTCCGTTGGAGTGCAAAAGAGTGCCGAGAGGAGCTCAAGAAATGCCACACCAGTTACTCCGGGGAGGAGGTTGAGGTCGCACAGGTCTTAACAGTGGAGCAGATGGCCCCTGCTCTGCCCCCCCAAGGGTTTGGAGGAAGTATCGATGCAACTTCTTTCCTGTCCCCAGGTACTGCCGCTTGGTTGGAGAACCCTCGTGGCTTGTTGAAGAATCCCAAAGAATTTGTAAACCACAAATTTGAGGCAAAGATACATGTCGCCAAGGATGAACTCTTTGACGTAGGTAAGCTCTTGGTAGATAGGGAGGTTTGCGATTGGCTGGAAGAGTCACAGGTTTTCTCCTATAAGGGGCGGCAGCTCTTCAATGGACTCTTTGGAGTCCGCAAGGGAGGGGCCACACATGAGACGAAACCCATTTTGCGAACCATTATGAACTTAGTGCCATGCAATGGCCTTTTTCTCCCATTGCAATATGGCCACCAGGGACTGGTGGACATACACTGCTGGGGAAATTTGGTCCTCACCGGTAGCGACGTAGTGGAGATAAGCCAATCCGACATGACGTCCGCCTTTTATCTTTTTAAGATACCCAGTGCTTGGCAACCCTTCTTGTGCTTCCGAATCAAGGCTAAGGGCAATCAGATCAATCGTGACCCCTCTAAGTGCTACTACCTAACTTGCAAAGTACTACCGATGGGTTGGCATAGCTCAGTCGCCGTCATGCAAGAGATTAGCACGAACCTTTTGCTCCAAAACCCACTACCTGATGAGCACTTGGTCTCGAAGGGTCGGCCGTTGCCCCCCTGGCTCGTGGGCCTCACCAGCGCGGTCCCTTCAGTTTCCCGTGTATGGTGGCAGGTCTACTTGGACAATTTCGCGAGTGGTCGAGTGTGGAATCCGTACCTTGACCGCGAGATGTCCGAGGGGGAATGGCATGATTTCCATGCACGGGCGGAAGAGGCTTGGGCTAGTGCCGGCATTGTTAGCTCCAGTAAGAAGAGGGTGATTCGTGCCGAAGAAGCCACGGAGTTAGGAGGACACTTGGACGGGAGAAATCATTTGTTTGGTGGTTCCCCCCAACGGGTCTTGAAAACGGCAAAACTGCTTCTGTACCTTCTTGGTCACCCATTCAAAGTAAAGGAGCTACAAACAGTCGTCGGTAGAGTAGTCTTCTTAATGTCCTTTCGGCGGCCCACCATGGCCGCTCTCAGCCGGACATGGGAATACATAGTGCATCCAAAGCGGCGGAGTCGGCTTTTGCCCTTGGTCAGACGAGAGTTGTTCAACTGCTTGCTGCTCCTACCGCTCATGAGACAAGATCTTCGGGCGGAGCTCGCCGAAGAGATAACATGCTCGGACGCAAGTCTCAAAGGAGGAGCATCGGCAGTGGCACGCCAGCTCACACCAGAAGGACGCAACTACCTA